ATACAGGATGAACCTCTGGGGCGGTCTTCTAGGTCTCGAAGAACGCCTTGGTAGCTGTACCTCTGGCTGCACCGTTGGTGTGCTTGCAGCAGCCGATTCGAAGCTGGAAGATATGGTGCTCGTAGTAGAGGACGATGATGATATATCCGGGTTGGTAGCCGGACAGGTAGGTGGTGACAACGTTGGCGTTCGAATAATATCGCTTTCAGTCGTAGTTGGCGGATTCCACATATCGAGTAGAGCTGCCAGTGGGAGTTGCATCTGCTTCGATGACTGGCTGGATCCAGTACCTCAAGAACGTATCCAAAAGCTTCTTGATCGCTCACTTGAACGTGTCGACAAATCGCTCTGCTTGGCCGTTTCATTGTGGGTGAAACGGTGCAGTTGTTACATGGTCGATTCCATTCGTCTTGCAGAACTGAGCGAATTCCGAGCTTGTGAATTGGGTGCCGTTGTCTGACATCAACGTTTCCGGCATCCCCAGGCTTGCGAAGATATTGCGAAGGATGCTGATCGTTGCAGAAGCCGTGATGCGACGTGTGCGGATGACTTCCGGCCATTTCGAAAACGAATCCACGGCGAGCAGATAGTAGTCGCCGTCGATGGAACCGGCGTAGTCCACGTGGACACGTGTTGGCTGGGGCCAGGGCACAGGGGACTTTGCTGTCAAGGTGCATGGTGAGCACGCTTTCACGTAATCGGCAATCTCGTTGTCGAGCGATGGTTATTAAACTTAGCTGCGGGAAGTGTCTTCATCCGCTGAATACCGGGGTGCCCCCGTTGTAGTTCTTCGAGGCATCGCTTGCATAGCATTTTTTTCCTTGATTTGTTTCCTTGCTGAGCACCAATGCTACTGACACCAGGGAGGCAGCTCCCACACCTGGACCCTACCTATCGACCCATCAACTCATGAACCGGGGACCAACGTCTTTACTTCCCTTCCGAAGGAAGGCGTGATCATAGATGTTATGCCTCAGAACATCCCGGCTGCGCCGACTGGGATTGAACCCAGGCCTGCTGGGGTGAGAGGCAATCACTAAACCACCGGTGCCGCTAATGACAAGCCTTTCGTCGAAGAGAATGCAGCCCGGCACCGTGGTTAGCGATTTACGGCGATGGTGGAAACGAAGAAGTTCTCGATTTCCGTCGCTGGTCAGGGAATTTGACCAGCCTTCCTGGAAGTACCGGTAGACCTTCTTGAGCACATCCTTTCGCATGGTAGTTGGTGAGACGAGAAAGGATGTCAGCGTGACAAAATTTGTTCGTGGCCACGTACTCCATGACGAAGCGTTGCAGATGGTTGGCAGTATACACTGGAATGCCCTTCTTGCTCCCGAAGATTCGAAGTAGTGGTTGATGGTCGGTTTGGAGGAGGAACTTGCGTCCGAATATCATGCGCTGGAACTTGGTTACCGCATATATGATGGCCAATCCTTCACGGTCAGTTTGACTGTAGTTGCGCGCGGCTGGTACCAAGGCTCCGGAAGCATGCTGGACGACTTTGATTGTACGATCGGGAAAACCGAGACTGATGGTCGCTCGCAGACCAATTGATAACGCATCGGCCGAAACGATGATCTCTTTCTTAGGATTATAATGGGTCAGGAGCAAGTCCAACGACAAGATGGTTTTGAACTCGTCAAACGCCCTCTGACACTCCGCTGTCCAAGCGAATTCGACTCTCCCTCTTCAGCAGTTCGTCCAGTGGGTAGCGTAGAACTCGCATATTCGGTACGAATTTCCCGTAGAAGTTAACGGCTCTGAGAAACGACCAAACTCCCGACACATCCGTGGGTGCCGGCATGAGCTTGATGGCTTCGATCTTGGGTGGATCGGGACGAACTGCATGGTGATCGAGTAAGTGTCCAAGATATTTAATCTGCTGACGTCCGAAAGAGCACTTCTCGAATCGGACTGTGAACCCGAACTCTTGCAGACGCTGGAAAAGTGCGTTCAGGTTCCGCCAATGCCAATCCGCCAGTCGGTTGACTTTGTAGATGCCCCGGTGGGTGTTGATTGCGAGGAGCTTACTCGATGATTCATCGACTTCAAGCTGCAGGTACGATTCTGACATGTCGATGATGCTGAATATCTTGCAGTTGGTGAGCTTGATGAAGATGTCTTGCGGCAACGGCAACGGGTATTGGTGCGGCTGGAGAGCGTCGTTCAAGCCCGTGGAATAATCACCGCAAATCCGAACACTGCCGTTTGCCTTCCGAACCACCACAATTGGCGTGATGATCCGCAAGCGCTCTAGACGGTCAAGTTCATCATCGACAGCCTGGTACATGGCGTAGGCCACGTTGCTTTCGTACACCGCCCTACGATGGATGAAGAGGAATTGCTGACCTGTCGACAGAAGACGTTCATCGGAACGGAGTCGAGCTGGAATGCTTCCACCGAATCCAGACCCAGGATCGTAGATCGTTCCCACTTGCGTTACGCCATTGACGGTGATCGAGCCACCCTGAACTACGATAGTAACTTCAGAGGATTGCGCGATGCGGTTTTTGCGTTCACGGACGGTGATCTGGTTGGTGACTTCCCTAGCTGCTTCCAGGTCTCGGATGATACGACGGTGATGTCAGAGGCAGAGTCGAACTGCAGTCGAACCAAAACACCAGAACAAACTTTCGTCTCCCTCGTACGTTGTTCACAGCGACTTGGACAGGTTTCGTATCTACAGTCACTGTTCTCGTTCGTCTCTTCATCCGCTTCCGAAGGGACTTTCGATCACTTTCACAGTGACTTTCTTTGTGTCCATATTGGTTACATTTAGCGCACTTATGGTCTTTGTACTCACAGTCTCTTGTGTAGTGCATCGATCCGCACTTCCAACAAGGACTTGGTCGCACTTTTTTTTCACTCACTGCACTACGCGACGACGATGAAGCACTGAAATGCTAATGCCGTGTTCGTTGCTGCTTCCGGAGCTGCTGCTTGATGGCGTTCACTGTGTTATTGGGTCGCTCGATCATCGCAGTGTCATGCCGAAGATTCAAAAGGCGTTGGCATTCGGTAGACAACTGCTCAAGAGTGACATCCGTCTTCTCCTCGATGCGCGCCAACAACCGGGTTCGGATCTCTGCATCTGACGCCGACTTCAAACCGCAGATGAATATCAGAGCCTTAAATTGCTTTTCCGGGAGACTTCCTAGCTCGAACTCAATGCATGTTTTGTTGATTCGGCAGGTGTAGGTGACGAAATCTTCGGTCGGCCCTTTTGCTACTTGAAGGCATCGATAGCGTTTGCTGATGATCGATTCCGCTGCTCCAAAAAGGCCTTTGAGCTTACCTACGGTCTCTTCGAAGGTGAAATCCTTGGATGTTTTCGGCAGTATTAAGCTGCAATAGAGCTCGTGCTCCGCGATGCCAAGTTTCCGCATCAATAACCTCACCTTTGCTTGGTCATCCAGCCGGGAAGCATCCTTCGCGAACCACGCTGTTCTCGGCGTCGTACCTGAACTCCTTGACGTTACTCGCCAGTGAGTCGAGAGTCGCTTCGGGATTCGACGGTACCTGTTCTTGGATGTTTCGGAGGGCATTTTGCTGCTACTGGATGAACGCGAGCTGCTGCTCGTTGGCTTGCTACTGGCTTTGAATGAGCTGATTCGTCACGAGGTGTTGTTGCTGAAGCTGATGCAGGTTGTGCATCGGTCGGTATCCGTGCTGGATTTGGCGTCGGCAGATTGTTTTGACCGGGCCTGGCATCTCCTGATCTTCGTCCACCGGCATAGACAGCTTGCTAAAAACTACAACAGTTAATAACTTATTTTATGGATATGTGTGGTGAAAATACCTGGGAATGTATTTACATAACCGTGGGGATTCAAGGAGAAAGTTGACGAAGAGAATCTGCCAATGTTACTTAGGACCTGATGCAATGTGCAGCTTGAGTTGAGAGCTGTCAAAACGCTCGCTACAGAAATAGAAGAAGTCTGTTAAAATGATGATGGTCTTTTGAGAACGGTTTTGTTGACGAGATAATGCATTTGTACTTATCGAAACCATTTAGGAATGCGTTCCAGACTACGTCACTGCTTTTCTATCTACCACATTGGTTTTTAATAATGAATGTGATTCATGAAATAATTGCATCGCGATTCTAATTGTTCGATAGATCCAGTGATAGTGAAAGTTCGGCTTGAATGCCAATTCTGATCGTCGGTAAAATTTAACCATGTTTGACAGCGAATTTCAATACCCGGAAGACGCAACTCTGACGGCAGTGGTGCCAGTCAGTTCAACATTGTCTAAGCACTCTGATCAGCGTTGATAACAATAAAGATATGTTAAATTTCGAAAGCAAAACCTTCCTTCAGCCGGTTCTAATTGGCGCTGCATTACGATACATAGCATAAAAATGTTCCTCCTATGTTCCTCAACATAATACTACATTGGATAAACCGCGAAACTTCTCTACCAAGTTTTGAAGCGCGCTGAACCGGTCTGGGGACAATAATTCAAACAACAGCAGTAACAATTAAGGTGGAAATTGTTTGAAATAATTACCCCTCGGCGGCCGCTCCACCGACCGCAGCGCGCGAAGCTATTCACACCCGAGTGAACGCCCCCCCCCCCCTTGCCCCCCCCCCCTCCCCTTCAGCCCTACCCCGACGACCGCCACCGCTGCAGTTTCATGTTCTCAGAAGTGCATTGCTAGACACGCACGCATCCAACCGAACCCCAGCACCTACCCAGTACTCAGCGTGTAGATGTTATAAGTTATGAACTTGTGCATAATAATAAAAACACGGACTTCCATCACCAGCAGAGGCTTAAGCGAAAACATGCATATGCCATTTAAATGCTCGTTATCAGCGGATATAGATCGCTCGTTTCTCCCAGGTTGAATGTCTGAAAAATGCGAAAAAATAGCTATAAACGTTTATTTCTACATACATACGTGGCCGCAACCGCACCGGTCAGATTAATTTAGTCGTAATTCACCGGAGGAAAGTGTAATTAAATGGCTTTTTCCTTTCTCGACTCTTTTCCAGAACCAAATGGAAGCGGCAGACGGCCGTGGGGTTGGAGCTGCTAGCGGAAGCCGGAAATTACGCCGCTTTCCAGCGATTGTACGGTGGACCGGCGTACCTCGGCGGTTGGCCATACCCGGCCCAGGCTGGACCTCCAGGGGCTCCTCAGAGTGCGGTGGACGCTTACTATCGGCATGCCGCGGCGGCTGCCGCTCTGCAGAAACCCCTCCCGTACCGGATCTACCCGGGCGTCCCGGGACTGGGAACGCTCAACACCATTCCGGGTCCAAGCGCACCGTTCCCGCACCTGTCAGCGTCCTCGTCGTTATCCACGCTCAGCAGCTACTACCAGGCTAGCAGTCAACAGGCGGCGGTGGCGGCTGCAGCTGCTGCCGCTTCCCACAACTCTCCCGGTGGCGCCGGAAGTCCCAACAATGGAAGCGCGGGCATCCAAAACAGCGCCGGTGGCATCCATAACAATAACAACAACAACAACAACAACATCCACGGCAGCACCAGTAGTCTAAGTAGTCAACCCCGGCGGTCACCGAGTCCAACGCTGAATCCGGGCAGTCCACCGGGGCGATCCGAGAGCAATCCGCCCAGTGACGACGAAGACGAAAACATACAGGTCTGAGAGCCCAGTGTGATCCCCGATGAAAAACACTCATATACGTATATATAGAGATAGCAGTGTAAGGAAAGAAAATAGTGATTATTATTTTTAATAGCATTTATTTAAAGCAGATATTATTTTTTAAAAAAGAGGGAATAATTAGCGAAATGAAAAGATGTGTCGAATCGCGGGGAAGGGGCAAAGGTGACGGATGGAACGGGGAGGCGTTTGCGCCCCAAAAAGGTGAAAACAAGATGTCAGCACCTTCGGATCGTGCGAAATTTACACAAAATAGGCGCGTGAAGTCGGAAAAATAACACCACCGTCCGTGGCGAGAAAAAAAAACACAAAGCATAACACCGAAGGGGACCCCGTCTCGTTTATAACTGTTTTGTTTTGGTTTAAATTAATTTGCGGTACATAAATAAATAGAGAAAAGCGACGTCGCTTCTGTTTACATTGAGCCAAAGTGAACAAAAAGTGAACTGCGCGTGATTTGCGACCCCAAAACTGTCAAATAGCCCAATGGTTTCCACCGCCGCGCAAACGTCACCCCGTCCGTCACCGGTGGCCCATTCCCATCAATTCGTCGCCAATTTCCGTGTGAGTGTAAATATCAAAGCAAGCCGATTGAAGGTAACGAAGTAACAGCATAGAAGCAAAGCCTACTCTTGATAGTGATTCTGTTTTGATTTTTTCTTAGCCTGTGAAGCTCCAAAATTGACAGTCTCTGTGTGCGTCGCCGTCGTCGTCGTCGTCGTCGTCGTCAATGTCGTCAAGTGGAAAATCGGGGAAAACGGTTAGTTTTTGTGTTTTGTTGTTGTGTAGATAATGGTCATATATAAAGTGAATCACCGCCACCACAGGCAAGGGGAACCCAGTGAGACGCGACGACGACAACGACGACGACAGTGCGCGATGAGAACGAGAAATTTATTAACTTTAGTCTTAATTTATGATCATTAGCGTCTGGAAATAATTATTTAATTATTTTATAAGTGAAGAATGCTGTAAAACTCGTCCCTCTCCGAGGGAATAAATCCATTGTTTATTCATCGACAGTTGTAGGATCCGTTTGTTTGCGCTTCGACTGATGATTGACACAGGCACAGTGATTGCTCAACCTCTCGGAACTCGGGAAAACAAAGTGATCGAATGTACTTACCCACTAATTGAAAACAAACACAAACCAGATACTTAACCAGTGACGACGGAACTGCAGCAAAGTTCCGCTAAGTAACCGATTTGCCAAAACGAATAGGAAGACAAACACACTCACATTAAAAAGAAAAACAGATTTGTAAAGAGAACCAGTATTAGGAAAGTGGAAAGTGCAAGACAGAACTCATTGTTCTTAGAAAAACACAACCACAAACACGATTGCTTCATCCTAAGTTTTACACTGCAACCCGTGAAAAAAGACGTTTTTAACCCCTCCAACGTGGATAGATCCTTCTCATTGTTTGTCCCTTTCCCATTATCCGTCACAACCGGAGGAGATGAATGCTTGAAAAGGATAGTTAGTTATTGAAAGTTGTACATATTGATTATATAAATATGAAATTATCCCGTCTACTTGTAAGTGACACACACCCACACACAGACACTCGGTAGAAGCCTCAACATTCCCGTCTAAAAAAAAAACTTTGAAAAAGTAACATGTGAAAAATGTGAAATATTTAACTGAGAGATAAAACATGCTGGGAATCGGGAAACGTGTGAGTCTTGCGTTTAACAACCTCTATTAATTTATCACGGATTCATATGGTCGATCAGCTGCGACTCAGTCAGTCAGTCAGCTAAAAACTGTAAAGCTCGTACACCTAACTGGAAAGCATTACCGGAAATAAACATGAAAATTTTATTGAAAATCAAACTTCTGCTTATGCCACTGCTACACTGAAAGAAATCCATCATTGGCAATTCGCTTGCTTGGCAGTTGATGACAGTAGGAGTCAGTGTTGCCAGATATACCGATTTATCGGTATTTATACCGATTTTCAAACTTGATGCCGATAAAGTTTCTCAGAATACCGATTTTTGAGTGTTAATACCGACTCTTGTACCGATTTTTTTATTATTAATCAAAATGATAACTGTTTGCCCGCACTGAATTTTCAGAGGAAACTATTATGAGAGACTTGTATCTTCTTGAAAATTAAATTTTTGAGCCTGCTTTAAACAAAATCATCTTCGAAAATATCTTATGCTTTCGACTAATGCTTACATTTCCTCGCGTTTTTGGTTACCAAGGAGTCGAAAAACAGCTGATGGTTAATCCCAATCATTTCTGGAAATCGGGAAATACTTTTATTCAGTGGAAAAATAGGCCCATAAAAGCGTTAATTTTTGAACTTCCTGAAATTTATTATTGCAGTTCCATTAGTTTCAGGAAAACTTCCGGAACTTTTCAGAAGTTTTGAAACTTCAGAATAGTTCGGCCTTTTGGGTAGGTTCCGATAAATTTTAGACAGTTTCATTAACTTCTGTTCAAATCCAAGAACCCGGGAATCTCAGGAAAGCCCAGAGAACTCCAATGAACTTAAGGAAACTGAAATATTTTAGAAACTTCACAAGCCTAAAGAATTTTAAAGAAATTTAATGGTTTTCAGGATAGCTCCATTTGTTTCAGGATAATTGAGATAACTTTAGGGAAGCTTTGAGAACATCAGGAATTATAAATTCAAGGAAATTTCTGAACCTTTAAATGAGTTCCGAAAACTTCAATTAAGTTCCGAGAGGTTCATGCAAATTTTGGAAACGTAAGAACATTAGAAAATTGTGAGAACATTTTAAGGGAAGCTCTGTGTTTTTTCGACATTTTCGAGAACTTTAAAAAAATAAAAATCAGTAAGTTCGGAGAACCCAGAAATCTATTTCTATTAGGGTCCTGTGCACCACCAGCGGTGCAAAGGGCCAACGTGAAAGACTTCCATCCTGGGCGGCTGCTCGCTTTTGCCTTGACCTGGGCCCAGGTCAGATTCCTATCGACTTGCTTAATTTCTTTATTGTGGCTCCGCCGCCATGAGCCCCTGGGTCTGCCTTTGCTGCGATGTCCTGCCGGATTCCAATCCAGCGCTTGCTTGCTGATTTCGTTTCCGCCCCGTCGAAGTGTGTGGCCGCCCTCGAATTTCTGTTGCTATCGGCTTCTGGTGACATCGACGATGGAGCTCGGCATTCGAGATCCAGTTGTGAGGCCACCAGGCACGAATTATATACCGCAGGCATCGGTTGATGAAGACCTGCAGCTTTTGAGTGTTCTCCGCTGATACACACCACGTCTCGCTGGCGTATAACAACACAGATTTCACGTTCGAGTTGAAAATTCGGATTTTGGTGCGTTGACTTATCTGGTTGGATCTCCATACGTTTCGTAAACTCGCAAAGGCAGCCCTAGCCTTCTTGATTCGTGCAGCTATGTCGCTCTTGGTCCCGCCGTCCGACGCTATTTGGCTGCCAAGATATTGGAAACTTTCGACCTTCTCCACTGCTTGCCCTGCTACCGTTAAGTTGGAAGGGTTGCCCGTGTTGATATCCAACGATTTGGTCTTGTTGACGTTGATGGTGAGACCCGCCGCAGAGGAGCGTTCGGCTAGGTCATTGAGCTTACTCTGCATATCAGAGCGCCGTTGTGCTAGTAGAGCAACATCATCAGCCAACTCGAAGTCGTTGAGATGCTCCATGGTGAAGGCTGCCAAAGCAGCCCACGGTTCGGTACACGGTCAATTGCGCACCTACCATGATCTCGTCGATTACGATGAGAAACAGTAGCGGTGATAGTATACATCCTTGTCTCACACCAGCGACTACCCGGATAGGGCCGCACAAGGCTCCGTTATGCAGAACTCTGCACGTGAAAGCCTCATACTGCGCTTCGATGAGGTTGACGATTTTATCCGGGACTCCCTTGCGTCTCAGGGCGCCCCACAGATTCTCGTGATTGAGACGGTCGAAAGCTTTTTCGTAGTCAATGAATACCAAATAAATGGACTCTTGGAATTCATTGACCTGCTCCAGGATGATGCGGAGCGTGACAATATGGTCCACACAAGATCATCCGGCACGGAATCCTGCCTGCTGCCGTGGGAGAGTCGCGTCGATCTTCTCCTGTATCCGATTCAGGATAACTTTGCACAGAACTTTGAGAACAATACACAGTAACATGATGCCTCGCCAATTGTCGCACACAGTCAGATCCCCCTTCTTTGGGACCTTCACTAAGATGCCCTGCATCCAGTCGGCCGAAAAAGTCGCGGTGGGGTCAGCTTTGTGCATCTCTGCTGATATGCGATCGACCCCTGGAGCCTTGTTGGATTTCATGCTTCGGATAGCTGCTTCAACCTTCTGCAGTGATAGGCCTCGGAATTGACGCGAGTGATGCACCGCACCCTAGGCGGATCATGCCGAGATGTTGATGGCTGGTTGGTCGTCGAAACTTGAAGAAGTTGTTCGAAGTGCTCAAACCAGCGTTTCAGCTGGTCAGTGAGGTCGGTAAGCAATTGTCCAGTCGTGTCCTCCACTGGCATCCTCGGGTTCATCCTTGCTCCACTCAGGCGTCGTGAGATATCGTAGAGGAGGCGTATATCGCCAGTGTTTGCGGTTTTCTCCCCTTCGTCGGCCAGGAAGTTCACCCATGCGTTCTTGGCTCCTCTGGTTCTCGCCCGCTCTATCGCGGCTTTTACTTCTCTACGCTCCTCAATCTTCCGCCAGGTTTCATCTGTGATCTACTCTTTCCTCTGGGTGCGCAGCTCACCCAAGTTCTTCTCGCTTGTTTCTACAAAGGCATTCTTGATGGCCGTCCATTGTTCTTCTACGCTGCCACCTTCTGGAACGTCCGCAGATCGAATCTCAAGTTCTTCAACAAAAGAGCTTTTTACCGCTGGATCTTCAAGTCGGCGTGTGTTGAACCGCCGCTCGAGTCTCTCCTCCCGTCGCTGGATCCGCGCCATGCGTAGGCGGATTTCACCGATTAGAAGGTGATGGTCAGACGCGATGTCGACGCTGCGTTTATTCCGAACATCAAGAAGGCTCCGTCTCCATTTTCGGCTGATGCAGATGTGGTCGATCTGATTTTCGGTATGTCCATCACGGGAAACCCACGTGACTTTGTGCACTGGCCGATGGGGGAAGAGCGAG